GTTCACGCAAGTGCAGGGATGATTGAGGGAAACGCCAGTTGAGCCACATGGCTTTGGAGCCCGTGAGCTGTGACAGAGGAGGGCCGTTTATCTAAGCGGGGTGTTTTGGGGGGGGGCTTGTGAGGAAAGCTGAGAACCACTGTAGCCAGCTGGGGGGGGGGGGGTGTTCCAGTGATACAAGAGTTTTCAGCTTGCCAATCATGGTAAGATAACTGGCAAATGGACACCAGACCCTGTTAAACATTTCTGCTTTCCANGGGTGTTCCAGTGATACAAGAGTTTTCAGCTTGCCAATCATGGTAAGATAACTGGCAAATGGACACCAGACCCTGTTAAACATTTCTGCTTTCCATAGAAAGGGGAACAGATTCCTGCTTTGCAGTTCCTGTGCACACGGTGTAATCCCATATTGGTGTAAATAATCTGTTCATTTTCAGTTGGCAGCAGCTGGATATGTGCTGAGATTTTAGCCATTTATATCTGTCTAACCCTGTGTAGGTGTTGGGACACCATCCATTTGCACCCAACCAAGCAGATATGTTAACGCAGTGCCATGTGATATTTTTCCGTGTGTCTTTGCCCGCGTTTGATTGCCTTCTGAGGTGCATCCCGCTGTCGTTCCTGCGGTTGTCGTCTCTTCTCCCTCTCTTTGGCCTTCAGACATGGTTGTTCGTGTTTTCTGTGCTCATTTTGAACTGTTGGCGCTCTGAAGTTTAAAGATGAGGACTTTTCTGGTGCTCAGTGCAAAAATATGCTTTTATGCTTGTGTAAAATGTGTAGGTGGGATTGTTCTCATAATTTTTTATTCTGCCAAATAAATTATTAAATGCTGTTTTTGTGAATAACGTTTGTGAAATCCCTTAACATCCAATTTTGAAAGTGTTACCCAAACAAAATCCTCCTCATACATATTAATATACTTCCATATTGGTTTTATATTCAGAACATTTGTTTTTAATCCATTTCTGCTTTACAAAAAACATAACAATAGGTTAAAGTTTGTCTTGATAAGACTCTTGTGTCATCATTACCGTGCCCTTAACATTTTTTGAAGGGTACCCTAAACCAGTAAATTATCATGGTATTTCTATATCTATGTCCATCACCGTAATAACTATTTTGAAATTTACTAAGCCAAAGTTAAACTGTGGCATGCTTTTATGAAAAATCTGGCACTTTCTGTAAATCAGATGTAGGGTGAATCCACTGAAGGTCTTTTTTTCCCTGTCCTTCTTGAATTGCTTAGAAATGAACACACTGAATTGTATGTGATTCTGTTGCCTTGTTTGGAATGCTGATCCACTTTGGGCTGGGGGTGGGGGTGTGGTGTCTGACATTAGGGGCTCTGGAAGCTGAATTCTGCAACACTGAGGTTCACCTTGCTGAATGATAAAAGCCTTTCCCCAAGCAGGCGCACAGAAGCACCATCTGAGGCTCGACTTACGAGCTGTAAATGCAGTCGAACGGGGATCACATATAAAGCATATCTTTATTACCATTTCCTAAAGGCACAGGAAAGCTGTTCGATCGGCGTGTTTCAAAGGGAGCTTAGCGAGCCGCTCTTGAGATGAAGTGGTGCACTTGTGCTTTTTGCTTTTCACAGCTTTGAGGTAAACTGCCCAAGCTGCAATTAACTTAATCCCTTCTTTGAAGGAAGCTGGTCGTCTTATTGAAATGTTAATGTCCTTTTGATATGATACATTTTTGCATTTTCTTCCATTGCAGTCTAGCAGGCTTCATTTTTTATCAATATACAAACATTACGCCTAAAGATAATTGCAGTATATCTTTAGAGCTTCAGGAAGGGCTAGACCTGTGTCAAAAGCTATTCTCCGTGTTTTCTTTTCACCACAATTCTTTCCAAAGCCATCTCAATTAATGCAAGGTCATCTGCGCAATCTGTGCTTCTGCGTTGGACTAACACGTAGCAAAAGTGCTGTCTGTTGATTGGAAACCTCTGAACATCTAAGTGTCAACACGCATCGTTGCAGTCGGCATCCATGACATCCAGCCACGTTAGTCGACATGCTTCTGACAATCATTTCCCATCAACAATCCACAGGCCAGCTTGAATCTTGTGCAAAATGTCGAAGCTTTTATGACTTGGAGGGCTGTGATGGACTTGTGTCGCCGAATTGAATTTGATCCCTGCAGCTTTAGCTGTACTTAATAGGTCTTGGGTCATTGGATTTTTTTAGATATTTTTTCATAGTATAGTGGAGACTCCTTTGTGGAAACATTGCATGAATACTGAATGAGCATGACGTTAAACGTAAATAAAACATCATACGATCTTTACTAACAGAAAATTAAAGGCTGATTTATACATATGTGTCAAATCGCCGTAAGTACAGCGTAGTTGTGCATCCTATGATGTAGCCCGCGGCATAGCCTGCCACGCATCCCCCAGAAGTGTAACTATACATCGCAGCAACGCAGACCACAGCAACTGTGATTGGTCTGCGTGGTAGCATTCATTTTTTTTATGGGAGTGAAGAAAGCATACATCCCAAGTATACTTGTATCACTAATTGAAACTGAAGTGCTGTTTATATCTAGCATTAAATAACCCACCCTAAGCATCTTAGCAGCAGATCTACAAAACGCTCAGGATGACTGCCAATTTCAGTAACCTACATTCAGTGTATCCGTACTTTACAAGTTAAAAGTAGTATAGACACTAACTCTAAAACGGAACATGTATAAAAAGTGACTTTGTTGCAGCTCGACATTTTTCCAAATTTGTCTACAGGAGGTTTGCAGCTGTACAAATATAACCAGGACTCTATAAATGGATACTTTGAAAAAGAAAAAAAAATACATCTAACAATTGCATGATTCAAGAATTTGTGCAGGGTGGGAAGACGATAAATGCAACATCCAAAACCATATGCCGCCTAGCATTTTGGTGGTGTAATTGCCGAGCCTCACAGACACCCCAACGCACAAGTCTAGAAGCTCGCATCAGCGTCGGCCACTTGCGTAGGTCATGGCGTAGGCTCAACACTGAAGTATAAATCAACCTTAACAATTTTGACACCTACCATCTCATTACTCTCTAAATAAGTCACATTTTGCCATTCTATTTATTGTTAGAAGCTGGCTGGGTCTTGAATCACATTCTCATATTTTACTTGGAGGAAAATAAATTAATTTGGTGTAGAAGCCTGAAAATTTCTGATATTCATCTCTGTCATAGGGATGATCTTGAGAGGGTAGCCTTAAACACCAGAACACAGGTCTTGATCGATCGGCCTGCTCACTTCATTAAACACGCACTGGTTTACTTGAAGGATCTCTGTAAGACAAAGCTGTAAATGCTGTAACCTGCAAATTCACATGCCTTAGAACAGCGGGCTAGCGGAACATGCTAAGCACAGCGCAGGACCTGGTGACTCGTTCTGCATATGCGGTTGAAAGTGCTTGAGTTCTGCCGCTGAAGAGCTTCGTCCCATTGGCACAAGACGGCATATAGACGCACTTGGGCTTCGTGTACTTAACGAGGGTGGCTGAAGGTAATACCTGTGGGGTTATGCTGGAAGCCTGAAGAAGTGTGTAGGAGGTCAAGAGAAGTCTCTCTTTAACATGCCATTCCCTGCCTGGGATGCGTGAGCCCTTTGATTGCTGTTAGAAGTGGATAAATGAAGATCTCTGAGGAGTTGCTGCACGTCAGTTGAGGTGACCAGAAGGGAACCAGTTATAAAAGATCCTTTGTCCGCATGTATATCTGCCTGATAGGTACTTCTGACTTGATGTGCTTTTAATGGGTTTCTCTGGGGCGGGGAGAGTTAGGGGTGTGCATTAACCTGTGGGAGGAATGGCGGTAATAAATCATTAAAAAACACTTGTCACTTCATAATGACAATAAGTACAGTGGCTTTTTATTAAAGCCTGAAAAATGATCACAAATGTGATGCTCTGATAGAAGCAGCTTGCTTTGGAAGAGTTTAGAACCATTATTTCCTGTCGTATGTCAGGATTGTGCTGACTTGCATTATTCTCCTGGTGTTCAGGCAGATTTTTTTATGCAAAAATTAAGTGAAAATAGTTTCCTTGTTACTCAGAAATTCAGTAACAACTTGTGACTCCAGTAGCCACACATTCCTTCCCATACTTTATTCTATATTGGGGTGGCCATTCTTATCCAGAAAGGGTTATTGTGTATACAGGTTGTCATTGCATCTCCCTAATTAGATTACTAATTAGAGGACTGATTGGCTGAAGAGTCCTCACACCTGGGTTTGGACAGCTGACCTACAGGTTATCCCAAAAACCTGCATACACACTGGCCCTTTGTGGATAAGATTGCCCACCCCTTTTCTATATTAACAAGCAAAGACGTATTTTAACTCACCCACCCGCCTGGTAGAATCTAGTCCCGTGCCATTACTTACGCTGATCAGCCCCTCCCCTTTCACCAGGGCTGCCCACCTCTCTGAGCTCCAGACCAGCAACAAACCAATTAGCGACTCTGCCTGTCCAAGGCGAGGGTGGCAAAGGCCCTTAGTATGACACACCGGGATCTCGCTGATGTGACCCTAAACCTAACCCTAACCCTGACCCTAACCCTAACCCTAACCCTGCTTCACAGACCAATTAGGAAGCATCTCATCATTTGTGTTAATCTCATCTGCTTGTTGGGATTTCCTGAGCATCTTAGCTGCTCCCTAAATGCCAATAAAGGGACAGAAATTCTCATATAGGCAACAAACCTGTGTACTGGACCTGCCTGACAGACTTTTGTTAATCTTGTTTCTCTTAATCAGATTTTCTGATGTTCCACTGACTGGCTTATGAACTGTGGCCATTCACGACAATAAATAAATACTTATATAGATAAACTGACATAAGATGCCAAAATAAGCAGCTAAATTTCAGGAGACTCATGGGGAACTGAAGGAGATGGAGCCTTGATCCATCACCCCCCCCCCGTCTGGTTAGTATCTAGGCGATGACCCTGCCCACCGTGCTAAAGGGATTACCGCTGTTGTGTTCACCAGGTACCCCCTACCGGGAGGCCCAGGAGAAGGACCTGAAGGCGGCTCTCAAGGGCATGAACCCTTCCATCCCGCTGGTGTTTGTCAGCGGGAACCACGACCTGGGCAACACCCCTACAGCGCAGAGCGTGCAGCAGTACCGCCAGGGCTGGGGTGATGACTACTTCAGCTTCTGGGTGGGGGACGTGCTCTTTCTGGTGCTCAACTCGCAGTTCTTCTTCGACGGCTCGGCCTGCCCCGAGCTGGGGGAGGCTCAGGATGCCTGGCTGGAGACACAGCTGCAGATGGCCACGGCCACGCCCTGCCGCCACCTCGTGGTCTTCCAGCACATCCCGCTCTTCCTGCGCTCGCCCGATGAGGACGACGACTACTTCAACCTGCAGAGGGCCGTGAGGGAGAGGCTGATTGGGCGATTCCAGCGGGCGGGTATGTGCTGACCTGTGCTGCCGGGGGAGGCTGATTGGGCGATACTAGTAGGGGGGGTGTGTGCTGACCTGTGCTGCTGGGGGCATCATCCAGCAAGATCTTCACACTCATGATCAGAGCAGGGCCCGATTAACTTCTCTGGGGGCCCTAGACAGACATGACAAGGAGCCCCCTCAAGCTATTTTTAAGCTGAAAGAGAACCAAGAGAAAATTGAATAATAATGCAAGGTCAATAATGTGAGGTTTAGGTGCCCGCGGATCACTGTACCATTCCTCCCAATGGCAGGGGCCCTGAGTTTGCTGGGGCCCTAGACTGTGGCTATGCATGAATCTGCCCCTGGGTCGATCCCCCCACCATTCAGGCCTTTTCTCACTTTGTTAGCATCTTTCTTCCTGTTTTATATCACAGGCGCTGAGCATTTCATATGCTTACAAATGCTTACCATCACCCGCAAAGTCTGTAAAATAAGCACTAAAGCATCTTCACTTACCAAGCAGGTTTGATTAGGAGCAGATGGTATTTTACTTCACAGCTACTCAGTGACTGAGGCAAGTTCTCTGTTTTCTAATGTGTGTCTACCAAGATTTTAAAGGATGGGGGATTAGCATCGTAAAAATACATACAGAGGTGGAAAGTTCAGGTCCAGAAAGTAAATATCCAGACCAAGATTTTGTTCCAACCAATCAGTTGCGTACTCACTGACTGTGACTCACTGACTGTGACTCACTGACTCTTTAGGTTCAACTATGAGTAGTTCGTTGGAACAAAATCTTGGTCTGGATTTTTACTTTCTGGACCTGAACTTTCCACCTCTCTTGACTTGTGAGGGTCAAGAGACTTTTTGTCTGGCAGATTAGATGAATCTCCTTCAGGTTACTGAGGGCTCGGCTGTGGACTGCACTTCACTGTTCACTGGGACCGGGCTCCCACTGCACATCGAGTTTGCTGGTATCTGAGAGGGGAAGACACCTGTGTCACTTAGGCATAGGGATGTTTGACATGAGCTCCACGTCCGCTTGATCTTTTTTAGCGAACGAAGCACCTGAGTGATTTTGAGGGGGAAAAAATAGTGTCGACCGTTTGAGATCAAATCCGAACTTTGTGCCGTAAAAGGTGAGCTTTAAACTGGGATCAGGCCCAACAGAGCACATCAGCCTGTCAGCATCGTCCCTGCAGGGGACGGGAAAGCTTGTTCGGATTAAAGGGAAGAGGATGGGACAGAGGAACAAAGAGACCGGCGGCCATCTCGGCCAAATGTCAGGCGCAGCGATTCGAGCGGTTACGCAACCGGCTTTCTCTTCTTTCTTAATGTAAATGCAATAAAACTAAAGAATAAATCATTTAGTAATTTCGCTCAGTGGGACAGCATAGAAAGAGCTGTACTTCAGGAAGCTGAATATCACTGGTTTTCATATGTTGTGATGTGATATGACATAAAATGTATTGAAAAGGACTAAATAGCAGTGTGTTTGTGAGGAGGGGCGAGGTTTGGAGCAGCCCACTCCGACCCGGCCCAGGCCCAGGCCGGTCCCTGCAACTCTCTCACTTCTTCGTCAGCTGCTCGTTTGTCCCATATCCCTGAACATTGGAGGCAGATGGCAGAACCTGGCTCTGCAGTTGAAACTGGACCAGTGTCAGGAGCGGCCCTTTATTCCGGTGCAGTCAGTGAGACATTGATCCCGTGCATGTAGAGAATGTGACAGGCTGTCAGCCTTGATTGGGGATTCCCGTCTGAGTCACAGAGGGGCCGTGCTCACTGGGGATGTGCATATGACCATATGTAGTGTACAGTATGGGTGCAGCACTGTAGTCTCACACCTCCAGGGTTAGGGGTTTGATTCCCAGCCCTGGGTCTGCATTCGTGGAGTGTGCATGTTCTCCCAGTGCAATGGGGGATTCCCCTGGGGTCTCCGGTTTCCTCCCACAGTCCAAAGACATGCAGTTCGGCTAATTGGTATCCCTAAATTGCCCGCTGTGTGTGTGTATGTGCCCTGTGATGGACTGGCATCTCATCCAGGGTGTACCCCAGCCGCGTGCCCTGTGATGGACTGGCATCTCATCCAGGGTATACCCCAGCCCCGTGCCCTGTGATGGACTGGCATCTCATCCAGGGTGTACCCCAGCCCCGTGCCCTGTGATGGACTGGCATCTCATCCAGGGTGTACCCCAGCCCCGTGCCCTGTGATGGACTGGCATCTCATCCAGCGCATACCCCAGCCTTGTACCATGTGCTTCCTGGGACAAGCTTTGGCCCCCATGATCCAAACCAACATATGATGGATGGATCGATCAAGGGTCTCCACCCATTTGAGGGGGTCCAGGGGGTTGTACTAGCTGGTTTTGATTATTGAGAGGTTGCAACCCCCCCCATACCCCTCATAATTTAGACTCATAGAATGGATGGATGGATGGATGGATGGATGGATGGATGGATGGATATGCATTGTGCACTCAATTGTCTTGTATAGTTTTGAATTTTTGGACACAGTTGCTAAAAATTCTTCTCTAGTCTTTATTGTCAATATGCATATATACAAGTGCACTCTCAAAGCTAAAACAGTGAAATTATGTAAATTATGCTTAATTCTGTCCCATCAGTAAATAGAAAGGTGTTGGTTTGTGATTCGCTGGTCTGGATATTTATTTGTTCGGCTAAAGCCCCATCCTGGCCGTCATTCCCCTCCTTATCATCAAAGGTGTCAGGTCTTAAGAATTGAGCACTAATCCCGCTGCAGTCCGGCGACCCCTGCTTTGCAGGTGCCAGCTCTCAGCACTGACAGCCACATCAATCAAGGATTTGTATTTTTTCTTTCCTCCCTCTCTCCCTGCTTATCCCCTTTCCCTGCTCTAAATTCCTTGCAGTCTGACAGCTCTATGGCCGGACTCCATATCTTTGTGCTCCTCTCGGTGGTGCCATAAAGTGCTGAGCACCTGTAGCGTGCAGGATTATGGGTAAAAAGACGTGAGACCATTTCTTGAAAAGAAACCTCAGTGTCGCTCTGGCCTGCATAGCTGATGCTGGATACATACTGTGCTTTTATTTTAGATTGTGATTGTTGTGTCTTTTCTTTATTTCCGTGTTGTTTTTCCATGCCTGATGCTGGTTAGGTCTCCTGTACCGTGGGTGTAAAACAATAGAGTGTTGTCCTATTGAGCGTGCGAGGGTGCTGATGGCTGGTGACACCTGCCACTCTGTGCATTTTTTCCGAGACCATTTCAAGTACCTTTTGCTTTGTGACAAATTTTACGGTCACGAGGAGTCTTTGAAGCATTGGCACGCATATGAAAGGCAGAGCTGGCCTTTTTTTTTATGGCCCTGTCCAGGCCAGATAATCGAAAGTGAGCTTTCGGGGGTCTGTGCCATTATGCTACCGTGTGCCGCCACGCAGGGCTCTGCCCAAACAGAAGCAGGCGTACAATGTGGGTGTGCACGCAAACTCATTTCCCTACTTTATTGGAACCTTCAAAACCAATACAAGCAGTCAGATTCCATTCGCGTGATCTGAGAAATGCTTTATGTAAGCTGTCGCATGTTATCAGAAGCTCATCCATTCTTATACATGTAGCCCGTCCTGCTGTAGCGTGTTATCGCAGAGCCTGCTCCCAAGTGCTTTCATTTCTAATAATCAAATTCATTCTGTTTTTTTTTTTGTCCATTTTGCATTTTTTGTCTGCTTTAAATTTCCCTTTTATAATCTCTCTTTTATACACATTGTTCTGCAGAAAGGTGGGTAACTTGGGAGGCCACAGTGAATTGGGCTGAGCCCATGCTTTGGGCTGATGACAGAGAGGGGCTGCTCTTCGCCTGGACATACCCAGCGTGCATGGAGCCTGTTTCTTGGTATTCTGTATTAGCAGGCCCTGAAAATGGTTACAGTTGACATCCACTGCTGAATTATATAACCTGATTGTTTTTTTTTTGTTCCATTTTAGTGGAACTTTCCCCCCAAAATGCGACTTCTGCTGTCTTAACATCTCAATCCTTAATTATTATTAATTTGTTACAGTTTTGATTAAAAATTTGATCCTACAGTAGAAATCTGCCTTCGTAAATTGTCTTGGGAGAAGATGGTGACATTATTTCCATAAACAGAAAAACACACATTTCCAGAGTGGCACAAATAACTGTTTAGGTGGAGTTTACTCACAGATGGGACCTGACACCAATTACTCTCCTCGTCAGAGTGCTGCTCCTGAATTAAGGAGCACTGCTCCGAGTTTTTCCTGACTTGGATAAATATACAGTGTGAGAGCAGACAATTATTCCAGGAGAATGGACTGCAGAAATGTGTGTTTGTTGCCTGGTTGCCGTATGCACTCCCTCTGTGCGTGCAGCATGGGTGATAGCCCTCATAGGCCAAACCAAATAGAGCATGTATTCGTGATGTGTTGTGTCTGAACCAGATGATTCAGCTATAAAATCCCACCAAATATGTTTAGAAATCATCTTTTACATGTTTATTTGACCCCAGGAAGTGGTGAAAAACCCGTGATGTCGTCAGCAGGATCGGATCTGGCGACATGCTGTAATGAGCCAGAGGCGGTTTATCGCGCCGTGACGTCCGTCTGCGGAGGAGCGCTCCTCCCCGCGCTCCTCCCCGCGCTCCTCCTCGCGCTCCTCCCCACGCTCCTCCTCGCGCTCCTCCTCGCGCTCTTTGCGCAACCTTACCGGCCTCCACCTGTGGCGTCTCATTCAGCTGCTCTGGGATCCATCGCCCTGGCATTGTCACGCCTGTGGCAGATGTGGAGATGGCACCTGAATGTTGATTATCTGTCCTGCTTTTAAAAAATGTCAACGTTTGCCACAAAGTATTTCACCTAATTTATTTCTGCAGTGTACAAGGAATAGTGTTTCATAGAGCATTATAGCTGATTTTCCGTTGCACCAGAATGAGAAAATTGCTTAAAAGAACATAGCTCATTACCTGGGTCCTGGGCCACCCTTTGTCACTGTACAGCGCCCTACCTAAGAATACATAACACAGCCTGGTGTTTGCTG